AACTAGACATGAGGCTTGCGCGTTGTGCAGGTATGTTTAATCAATGTTTTTGAAACAAATTGTAAACAAATTTATTCTAACAAAATAAACTAATTAGATTAAGACATAATAATTGTTAAATTATACAATTTTTAAAGTAAATATAAATTTTATATATATACAAAGTTGTGTTAAGATAAAATTAATAATTGTACATATATAATTATTAATATCAATTATAGGTTGATGTCATTAAATCACTCATCCAACTTGAGAAGATCACATGAATATTATATGGTTTAATTATATTTTCTGGATCATCATCTTGTACAATTGATATTATTTTTGCAAACATGTCTTTAATATTCGTTGTCAGTATTTTATAGTGAATCGTGTATAATATTTAAGATCGCCTAAATATTATCAAGATCAACTATTTAAATTTAAAATTTATACTGACCTTCCGCAATTTCTATAACTTATATTCATTTTCAAGTTGCGTTACGCGGGTATGTTTATTATATATTTTTTTTTTACATTATTATTGGGTTTTTGTGTTTTAAATATATATTTTCTATATTGAAGTTCATTTTATATTGAATTGATAATTAAAAAATCAATAAATAAAATATCTACAAATTGAACTCAAAGTCTATATCATCATAGTTCTTCTTAAATATGTCACCATTTGAAATCGCAACCAAAGTTTAAAACTTTGTCAAGAAAAGCAAAAAAAATTGCAGGATAACCCATGGGGTATTATTGATAAGTCTATAAATCAATCAGAGATAGAGAAACATTGTTGAAAAATGTGAACTTTTAAGCAAGAGACTTGCAGAGCCAAAGGAAAAAAAACTGATTTTGATTATTGAGAAGATAAAATGAATTATTATTATTATTATTATTTTAGAAATTAAAAAAAAAATTAAGAATATTGAGAAGAGAACTCACATAGAAAGCAACAACTCCAACAGTATAATCTGAACGCAACTTAATTGAAGCATTGAAGCAGCCTTGAAGATAAATGTTCTATGATACAAATCTATTTGCTGCAATTAGAATTGACCACCACCTATAGCAAAAAAAGCATTTGATGATAGCATCCTAAAGAAAGACGATAATTGTAAAACCATAAAACCCACAAATCAAACAATAAAATCAATCCAAAAATCAACAAAAAGAGATAGAACAAATACAATTAAAACTACATATCAATATTCGTTTTCCTTTGTCATCACTAAAATTGAATTTGTTTTATGTGTGTGATGATAAAATGAATGGTTCGGCAGCAGGTCTATAGTTATCCTAAGTTATCATATAATATATCAAATTAAAATCCTATCTTTCTAGTTTACAAAGATTCAAACCGCTCATCAATTGGATTTTTATTGAGCAAGTTATGACTAATTTACTATTGACTGTTTAGTGGAAATCGAGAACAAGGAAAATCGAAATGTGTGATATAATAAAAGGAATGGTTTGAAGTGGTGCTACAGTTATCCAAATTAAGCGTATAATATATTAAATTAAAGCTCTGTCTGTCTAGTTTCTAAAGATTCAAACCTCTCATCAATTAGATTTGTATTGAGCAAGTTATGGTCAATTTACTACTGACTATTCAGTGAAAACCGAAATGTGTGTGATGATAAAACGAATATTTCGGCAGTGGGACTACAATTATCAACATCAAGCTTACAATATATCAAATTAAAGCCCTACATGTCTAGTTTTTAAATATTCAAATCTCTCATCAATTGGATTTTTATTGAGAAAGTAATTCAATTTACTATTGACTGTTCAGTGAAAAGCCGAAATATATGTGTTGATAAAAGGAATTGTTTGACAGTGATGCTACAGTTATCCAAATTAAGCGTATAATATATCAAATTAAAGTCATATCTGTCTAGTTTCTAAAGATTCAAACCTCTCATAATTGTAGTTTTATTGAGCAAGTTATGGTCAATTAACTATTGAGTAAGTTATGACTAATTTACTACTTATTGTTCAGTGGAAATCGAGAAACAGGGAAAACCAAAATGTGTGTGATAATAAAAGGAATGGTTTGGAAGTGGAGCTATAGTTAGTTTCTAAATATTTAAACCTCTCATCAATTGAAGTTTTATTGAGAAAGTTATGGTCAATTTACTACTGACTGTTCAATAAAAACCGAAATGTGTGTGATGATAAAATGAATAGTTCAGATGTGGGGCTACAGTTATCTAAATTAAGCGTATAATATATAAAATTAAAGCCCCGTTTTTCTAGTTTCTAAATATTCAAACCTCTCATCAATTAAAGTTTTATTAAGCAAGTTATGGTCAGTTGACTACTGTCTGTTCAGTGGAAACCGAAATGTGTATGATGATAAAATGAATGGTTCAGATGTGGGGCTACAGCGTATAATATATCAAATTAAAGCCCCGTTTTTCTAGTTTCTAAATATTTAAACCTCTCATCAATTGAAGTTTTATTAAGCAAGTTATGGTCAATTGACTACTGTCTGTTCAATGGAAACCGAAATGTGTGTGATAATAAAATGAATGGTTCAGCAGTGGGGCTATAGTTACCCAAATTAAGCGTATAATATATCAATTTAAATCCCTGTCTATCTAGTTTCTAAAGATGCAAACCTCTCATCAATTTGATTTTTATTGAGCAAGTTGTGATCAATTTACTACTGATTGTTTAGTGGAAACCGAAATGCGTGTGATGATTAAATGAATGGTTTACTTGACCCAAATTTAAGGGATTATTATATTAGGACTGATAAGAAATATTTCAAATAACACCTATGTATTGGAAAGCGGAATTAGCCAAAATTAATTCATTTAACATATATACTCGCACATCAGCAGGACATAAACAATTAATCATTCATATAACAAATTAAAATACACGAATGTTTTTATAGAAAATATATTCAACACAAATGAACTGTTTCTACTAATATAGATATGACATATATTCACAGTTCGACTGACAATAGGATCATCCTCGATTTGATCTTAGTAAAGTACATGAACATTTCCTTGAAAACAAACATAAAATTTAATCGATCTTTATGTTAAGATTATTAAGGAACAATTATTCATTCGTATAACAATTGTTACTTGAAAACGAAATCAACAAAAGTTAATTAATCTTCATATTAAAATTGTTAAGGAATATACTTACCATTCGGTAAGACTAACACAATTAATCATTTAAACAGATTGATCGAACAAAAATGATCATTCAACAAAATAATAACTGTTAAAATAGTTAGGAGATATACTTACACTTTCGTATTAAAATAGTTAGAAGATATACTTACAGTTTAGAAGAACGAATTAAAATAACAACTCATTTGACAATGTCAATTGGACATCGTTCCTTGATTCCATGCCAATTCATGAATCTTTGACTTGTAAACAAAAACAAAAACATAAATAAATAAAAATCATCAATTCACAAAATCATGAAGAACAGATGTATTTTTGACACAAATTAACATGACCTATAAACAATTAACAAAAGACCAGAGGTATTGTTGACATCAACTAACATATTGCGATAATACACAACTGAACATACGCCCCTTTTATAACTCCTTATTTAGACCTTTCGAATGCCAACACAATTAAATATGAATTGAATATGAAAAAAGGTTCGCAATGTCAATACAATGCACTTATATAATTATTAATAAACAAGTATGCTTTTACTACCAATGCAATGCACCTATGTAATCCAATCTTTATGTCTATTTATTTAGACTTTAGAATACTAATGTAGCAATTAATATTGTCTACATCATTACCAATAAAATTCAACCACATGGCAATCACAAATCCAATGTGTCATTATGATTAGACCTTTAGAATGCTAATGTAATGCACCTATATAATTAGTATTATTATTAATTATTAATATAACCAATGCAATGCACCTATATAATCCAATATTTATGTCTATTTATTTAGACTTTGAAATACCAATGTAGCAATTAATACTGTCTACATTATCACCGATAAAATTCAACCATATAGCAATCACAAATTCAAGGTGTCATTATGGTTAGATCTTTAGAATGCTAATGCAATGTACCTGTATTATTATTAATTATTAATATAGATCTCATTTTTTTAATTAATTAATAATTATATATGGAGCAATAAATATCAATCGAATGAGTCAAGATAGAGTAATTTGATTGGCTTGTCAATTCAATGTATCAAAATAGAGCAATTTCAAAGCTTCTAAAATATGTCATATGGTGAACAACTTGTATGAGTATTCAACTTTATATATATAAAGTTTATTAACAGAATAATATTTATTATTTCAAAAATCTTACATTAAAATTCCGTACCAAAATTTTTGCACCTAAAGAAAATAAACCTCTAAGAGCATTTCCAAATGACTCTTTATATGATCCAAACTTTTTATTATAAAGAGTTTATCCATAAAAACAAGAGTCCAATAGACTCTTTATCTTTAAAATATAAATTAGAAAATAAGTTTGACTCTCTATATTTAGAGAGTTAAATTTTACTCTTTATCCTAATTTTAATTAATAAACTATAAGTTTCTATATATTTTATTTATTAATTATCTCTCTCATTAGGTCTCTTTCTTAAAAATAAAAAATATCTTTATTAAATTTAAAAAATTTATTAGATTTAAATAAAAATTATATTATTTATATTTTAAAACTAATAAAAATACACATTATTTATATAAAAGATACTGTTCATAACGAATAACGAAGAGCGTCGTTAGAAATGTTCTAGTTACGAAATCAGTTGATGGTGGCGCCCACGATCACTCTGCCACGTCAATTTTATTCATGTGGCCCCACTTGATTAAAACATTTCGAAACTCCACGCGCGCGTGGAACAGGACTCTTTCGTATAGTTCGTACGTACGTCGTTACTTTCCGCGTCGTATAGCGGATTGTTTATTAAATCACTCACCCTCTGCCACGTGGTAGCTTAAACTCAGCTTTTTGTTCTTCTCGTCTATGATTCAAATAGTAACTCCACGAGATGGCAATTACTGATCTAAGGCAGGTCGTTTCTCCTTCAACTTCGCTACCACCACAACCTGTCTCTCTTATCTCCACATCCACTCGAAACGATAGTGCGTCTCTTTCATTATTTATGCAAAAGCTCGGTGCCCAGCAGCTTGTATATGCATTTTGTCAGTGGTTTTGTCATTGGGAATATGGATTTTTTGTGGATACTTGATTTTTTCCAGGGTATGATAAAGCCGGCGGCAGCCACGGCGGTGGTGCTAATGGCTGTGCTGTTGTCCATCTTTCAAAAGCTTGGATTGGAGGGTGAAATGATTTATTCCATTTTCAGGGCTTTTCTTCAACTCTCTGTTATTGGCTTTGTTCTTCAGTTCATTTTTACCCAAGAAAACAGTGGTTGGATCATTCTTGCTTACCTTTTCATGGTTCGTTCTTAATTCTTATCGTTTCTTTTTTTCCTGCTTTGTTTTTTCGTGGTTGGATTTTTCTTGCATATGTTATCAGAATCATAAATAAGTTTTGCAGTCAAAGAGCTGAAAGAGTTTGTTGTCAAAGAACCGAAAGAAAACATCTAATACAGATATAATCAAGCTCTCAGGTTGGAATTTTCTTATATATATACGGAGATCCGATGTTCTAACCCAGCTTAATTACCTGAAATGAGAAGAAACAGAGAGGGTCCATGCTTTATTTTCTATCTGTCATGTCGAGTAAAGAGTATGCAATTTTGATCTGTTCATATTGTCCACAAGTGTCACCGAATTATTCCTCCTCTGTTTCAGCCTAATTAATAAATATGAACTGGACAAGTAAAGTTTAAATTCTGGAGATGCAGGGCCTTTTTATTCCAATTTTAAGCTAGCCCTTTTGCAGTTGACATGTTTCTGGGTGCTGCTGTTACTCGTGTCTTCGTTCTTGACATTGTTTCACTGTTTCCTGTAGGTCACAGTTGCTGGTTATACGGCCGGTCAACGGGCGAAACATGTACCCCGTGGGAAGTACGTTGCTGGAGCTTCCATCCTGGCCGGAACTGCAGTGACCATGTTTTTGCTTGTTATACTAAGGGTCTTCCCTTTCACTCCAAGATACATCATTCCTGTTGCGGGAATGATGGTTGGAAATGCAATGACAGTAACCGGAGTAACAATGAAAAGACTTCGAGATGATATCAAGACACAATTGAACTTGGTAAGTTCTAATTTTTAGGAAAAATTAACGAATGATGTTTTGAAATCTTTTGGAAACTAGAATTTGACAAAATTCTAGTGAATATTCCCAATTCAGGTGTCAATGGCTTCATCTGATGGATGGTTTTGTTTAACAGGTGGAGACAGCATTAGCTCTGGGTGCAACGCCACGGCAAGCAACACTTCTGCAAGTGAAGAGGGCTCTGGTTATTGCACTCTCTCCGGTATTGGACAACGCCAAAACCGTGGGTCTAATTTCACTCCCTGGGGCAATGACTGGACTGATAATGGGAGGAGCTTCGCCCCTGGAGGCCATTCAACTGCAGATTGTTGTAATGAACATGCTTATTGGTGCATCTACAGTTAGCAGCATCATGTCAACTTACCTCTGTTGGCCTGCCTTCTTCACCACAGCATATCAGCTGGAAACTAAAGTCTTCAGTTCTGAATGAGACTGGTAAGATTGAATTTGAGTATTCTATTAATTATCACATATATGAAATTTATTCATGTTTAGTATAATCAATCTGTGTTTGCTGTTGCAGAAAAGTTCCATGAATGTTTTAGAAATTCTAGATTTTTTCTTTGCTAGGCTGGTGCATGAACCTTCTGTGGCATTTGAAAATTTGATCTGGTAATAGCTATCTTATATGTTTAGTGCATGGTTGATTTTATTTTGAGGTCATGTCTGGGGATGCTAATATCCTTCGCTTAAAGGGATTCCCAATTTCCCACTTTCTACTTATAAAAGATATAATAACATCACCCTTCAGGGAGCAAAGATGCCAAAAGAACTTCTACCAATGCAAGTAGAGCAGCAAGCAGAATCATTTTCTATCACAATACAACCTCAATCAAAACCAACATCCCTGACCCTGTTAATGTGTATTTACTTTCAATATAAATCTTTACACATCGAGCTGAAATTCAGTACATTGGGCTATAAATATTTTAACTGATACGACAGCCAATAATCTGTTTTGCTGGGCTGAGCTCTATTTGATGACAGCAGTCTCAAGGGGATTCAGTAAATTTCTTCTTGATCCACATTACGAAGTTACAAACTGATATGCCGAAAAATACACTGACATGACATCAGCACCACCAATCAAAATGAGTTGAGAATCCCATCAATTAAATCAGCACCACCAACCAAAATGAGTTGACAATCCCATCCATTAAAGTTTAACGAGAGCTAAAGGATAAAATAATATTAGTGTCAAAACCAAATGGACCTAAGTTGCTATTAAACTAATTTATATCAATCATATATCATTTTAAGATAGGGATTAGAGGGGGGTCTTCATAACTTGCAAAGATAGTTATTACATTGAACTCAAATATATAAATAGACATCTCTTTTCATGAAAGAAGGGGCTGAATGTATGAGAACAAATTCGAGCTTCAACCATTATTTTTCTTTATAAACAAAGCATTATTCCATCTTTGTATGCCTTATAGGCGATATCAGAAAAATAGTCAGAGAATAATAAAATCACAGTGGATGTAAGATTTGCTTTAAGTATCCGAACCGCTATAAAAATCTCTTTTGTCAATCTTTTATTTTTGTTTCTTTAAACATATATTATCACTGCATCGTAAACACTCCCATAATCTATTCACATGTGATTTCTAAGCACTTTACACGTGTGAAATCATTAGTGTCAAAATCAAGCATCAACAGGTTGACACTAGAAGGAGGGCATGATTCACATAAGCTCTCCATGTTTTTCCAGCAAATCTCAACTTCTTTCAGCAAGTTTCGACTTCTTCAGCAAATTTCAACTTCTTTTTCTAGAATCACGTTATTAGATGTGAAAATTTGAGCATGATAAAGTCTGAATCTGAAGAAGCCACAAACATAAGAATTGTAGCCATTCGAGTTATCTTTTCGATGGTCTAAGAATCATCCAAATCCAAGGTTTACAGCTCAAGTTATGGTCAAAATACTGAAGCCTATTTTGTATCAGAGCTCTCAGATCAGGTGCATCAAAGCTCTCAGATCATGTGCATGAGAGCTTTTAGATCACACTCATTAGATCTATTAGATTCCATGCTTCCAAACACCTAGATTGTGTGCTTTGGAGTGCCTATACCGTGATTTTGAGTACCTAGATCGCGCTTTTGAGTGGCCAGATCACGCGCTTCTGAGAGTCCAGATCACTAAGATCCTTCAAATCTTGTGTTCTCAGATCAAGCCCCTCGCTTTTTGATAGAACTTCTTGTGTTCTCAGATCAAGCCCCTCGCTTTTTGATAGAACTTCTTGTGTTCTCAGATCAAGCCCCTTGCTTTTTGATAGAACTTCTTGTGTTCTCAGATCAAGCCCTGTGCTTTCTGATTGAACTTCTTGTGTTCTCAGATCAAGCCCCGCATTTTCTGATCGAACTTCTTGTGTTCTCAGATCAAGCCTCAAGCTTTTTGATTGAATTTCTCGTGTTCTCAGATAAAGCTCCGTACTTTCTAATCGAACTCCTTGTGTTCTATGTTTTCTGATCGAACTCTTTATGCTCTCAGATCGCAAAGAGTTCTTAAGCTCTCAGATCACAAAGAGCTCTTGAGTTTTCAAATCAAAGCTCTTTATACTCTCTAATTGAGCTCATAAGCTCACTCATTCACTTGAGATCGTGCTCCTTAGATCGTGCAAATCACATGGTCCAGATCAAGCTTCTTATCCCGAGATTGTGCGTTGTAGATCGTTCAGATTGCGCACCTCCAACTCTCAAATCGAGTGCTTGTCACATCGCGCTCAGCTCCTAGCTCTCAAATCGTAATCAACTCTCAGCTCTGAGATTGCGAACAACCTCAGATCGTGTTCTCAGCTCTCAGATTGCGATCAATTCTTAGTTCTCAGATCGCGATCAGCTGTTAACATAAAAAAACACGTAAAAAACTTAAAATAGCCCCGAAACAGTGGATTTTGGCCTTGAAATTGACCCTCAATTGCCATGACGTAGAGCTCAAAACGAGCTTTCTGTTGATATATTACATGCTCCAAAACTTCTTTCGGATAAAAAGTTATGGCTGTTTTAAGTTTGCATGTCTGTTTAGGACCTTTGAATCATGCGTTTGGGCTTTTGACTCTTTGCTCTCACCAGAGATTTATTTTCTTCTAGATGTTTTACGTCAGTGATCAGATTGCGATCAGCTCCCAATTCTCATATTGCAATCAACTTTTAGCGATCAGGGTGCTCCTAGCTCTTAGAGTGCAGTCCTAGATCTCAGATCATCATAATAAATCAAGATCCCAACACCCGATCATGCTAGGCATAATTCAAGCTCTTTATCCGATTTTAAGATAAGGATTGGGGACACGTGGATAAGGATTGGGGAGGCGTCTCCATGTGTCCCCACAATTTATAAAATCACTCATTACATTGAGTTCAAAGATATAAATAGACACATTTCTCCATGCAATGGGGGGCTGGACATATGAGAGCTGGGCACAAATTCGAGCTTCAACCATTATTTTTCTCTGTAAACAAAACATTACTTAATCTTTGTATGTTTTACAAACGATATCAAACAATAGTCAGAGAATAATAGAATTACAGTGGGTGTAGGATTTGCTTCAAGCATCCAAACCACTATAAAAATCTCTCTCGTCAATATTTTATTTATGTTTTTTCAAACATATATTATCACTACATCATAAACACTTCCATAATTTTTGCACATGTGATTTCTTAACACTTTATATATAAGAAGTCATTAGTGTTAAAATCAAGCATCAATACAAACTGTTCAAATATTTAACTATTACGATCAATGAGAGATGGAAATTGAGCCCTAAAAGGCTAAAACGTGAACAATGCAAACACGAAGAATTTGAGTCCATCTAAGGCAGGCTTTTCCCAATTTCAAAGGGGTTGACACCAGAGAAGTTATATCATATTGCACACATCACATTGCTNAGCATCTAAACCACTATAAAAATCTCTCTCGTCAATCTTTTATTTATATTTTTTCAAACATATATTATCACTGTATCATAAACACTTCCATAATCTACTTACAAGTGATTTCTTAACACTTTACATATGCAAAGTCGTTGGTGTTAAAATCAAACATCAATACAAATGGTTCAAATATTTAACTATTATGATCAATGAGAGATGGAAATTGAGCCCTAAAAGGCTAAAACGTGAACAATGCAAACACGAAGAATTTGAGTCCATCTAAGGCAGGCTTTTCCCAATTTCAAAGGGGTTGACACCAGAGAAGTTATATCATATTGCACACATCACATTGCTCTGCCGATTTGCAGCCCCACGTTGAACCAAAACTGTTAAAAAATTATTAGAATAACAACATGGATACAGATATGAGAAATATCATAAACCAGACTTACCCTTGCCTATATTTCCGGGTTTAAAATGAACAGGAAAAGCTAATATTCTACACAAAAATGAAATTACAAAATATCAATGATCAAGCGAAAATTCCAGAAGTATTATGGTCTTATAATTAAACATTGAAAATATGGTTGAAGGGAGACATATAGGCTATAGCCAGACCAGGTGTTTCACATTATTACAATTAAACCTTACTGTCATAATATGAAAAAATGAAAAAACAATTAATGAATGAAAGAGTTTTCCGTATTATTAAAACAAACCCAACCCATCATTGAACTCTCTTCTTGATTGTAGTAAGAGCTCCTTTACTGGTTAATTTGTTTCATATAATGGATTTTCATGTTCATAATTGCCAGGTGGATCATAGTTGCAGACGACAATCAAACCTCCATTGTTGCACTTCTGACGTGCACAGCCAATCCTACAAGTTTTTCTCCATATGACCTGCGTGTAATGTCCGCACATTTGGCCTTCGCTGCATGTATTTCCTTTATCATCAAAATACTGCGACTCACTGGCCCATGACTGCACCACTTCTGTAGGTGTCCAATGGTCATACCCTCCCCAGAACAAGTTCTCTCCGTAGGGTCCATAAGAATGTATCATGTTGCAGTCCCCCGAGAGACCGTTGGCCCAATTTTGTGCACACTTAGCTAACTCCTCGTCCCAATTCAAAGGTGGCTCGCCCATGTGTTCCCTGATTTTGTTGTGCGCGTCGAGAAACTCTTGTTTCATTAGCTCCTCATCTTCGTGTGCCTTGGTGGCGACGGTGAAGACGAGGAGATATAATATGAAGGTGGATATTATAATATTTTGGAATGTTAGCGACGACATTGGTGGCTTGAACGATAGTTGTAATGAAATGATTTTGATTGGTGATGGTTTTGCGACTTCAGTTAGCCACTGTCAGGATCCGAGAGCAGCGGCATGGTGGAGAATGAGGTTGAAGAAGGGATTTAATCCTAACACAGCTTCTATATGTACTCCATGGAGCACCGCAATTTGAGGGAAGCCACATGTATTGAAAGGTGAAAAACTTACATGAAATTGGTTTTTCACCTCATCTATTTAATGTGGGACAATGTATTGTTAGGTGATCAACAATATTTTTTTTAACTATAATTTTTTTTTTACCGATTCATATATATATATTTTTTTATCACCCAATAAATTTATATTTCATCTTCGTGGATTTTACTCGATCTTTAAGAATAAAATCATATCATTCTTTAGTGATTTAATATAAGAAAAAAAATATAGAAATTGGGTTAATAAAACAAATATGTGAAATAAAGAAAGAGGGGTAAGTAATACTAAGCTAATAAACTCTTCTCACAAACACAGTGACAGCTCGCAATAACTTAAATATAATATCATTGAAAAAAAAAATATTTATATCTGATTTTTTAATTTAATTCTTAACATTATTACTAAAATTTGTTTCATAAACCCTCAATCAAACATATCTTTGAGCGAAAGTTTACTTTTAATTTCTTAAAAACATTATATATAGTTGTCCGTTTTGGGCAATGCGGTCCCTACTTAATCAGTTAATTGGACTCTAAATGCACAACTTTCGAATTTAGCCTATCCCTATACTTGTCGGTCGACCTGGCCGAATAAAAATTACAAAAAAATTGGTTCAGACTTCAGACAGCTCGAGAAAATGGGCTTCATCTCGACTCTGGAGTAGTTTTGTATTTAAATATAAATGCTTGAGTTTTATTTTATGTAAATTTAGAAACATCTTCTTCTTATAAAAAATGCATTATTATTTATTCAATTATTAAAAAAATAAAAATATGTTTCACATGTTGATTATGTTGTCAGAGACTAAGCCGTTCCCTAACTGCCAACTGTGCTTGGCAACACGTCACTCATATTTCAAGTCCCGCACGACGTGGCAAGACCTTTTAACCACTGCGTAATGCGCACCCTGCGTCTCACAGGCGCCACCCTGTCCATTAACTCGCATCGCGAACCGGTCAGCCCTCCCATCACCCTTTCCCTCTCTCACGAAACAAAAGAATAAAAAAAAAAAAAAGAAAAAAAAGAAAAAAAGAAAAAGAAAAAAACCCGCCATAGCTTCCTGAAGCCGCTTCTTCGTAATTGGATGAAACAGAGAACGGAAAGGTGCGTAGTGTGCACTCCCTGTTTAATTCTCCGATCGATCTGAGCAGGCTTATGATATCCGTCAATTAAAATTGATTAGCTAGTGAATGGTGACACAGCTCGTTATGTCGATTCGGAGTTCGCTGAATTCCAAAGCTTCTTGTGTTTTCCTTGTCTTTTTTATTTTCCTCAACTGCTTTCCCGGTAATTTTCTCGAGAAACAAACAGATATTGAACGACTTCGGTTTCAATTTGAAAATTGATCATTTTCCTTTACCTAATATTATTATTATTATTATTTTTTTTTTGGTAGGTTTCGTATTAACAGCAGTAGTAACGCTTGATTCGATTGAAATATATACTACTCACGAATGGATGCCAGACTCTAAACCAACGGTTTATTTCCAGTGTAAAGGAGAGAAAAAGACGATTTTGCCTGATGTCAAGCGCGCAGATTATATGTATTCTTTCAAGAATGAAGAATCTTGGCAGGTTAGTATTTCACTACGGTTATGTTAAAACTTTTAATTCTGTTTTAAAACTATCTGTCATAAAAATGTAAAAGCTTGGTAGAAATTATCACAAGTGGTCAACAAGCATATTTTTGTCTAGGAAATTGAAAACTAAGACTGGCACTGGAATAGTTATAGGATTATATTGTGTAGGTTTTTCTATGATACTAGACTGTATTAGAGAGGCTGGGGCCTTTGGATTTTACTGTGTTTTATTTGTATTTCGGATTGTATAACACCCATTACTATTAAGTGTGGTAATTGTTGGTGAAGCTTAAACATGGTTGTTCATGTCTGCAGCCGCTAACAGATTTTTCGGGCCAGAAATGCAAGCGATGTGGGTTTTATGAGAAGGATATGATTAAGTCAGATGATGTATTTGATGAGTGGGAGTTTTGTCCTTCTGATTTTAAAGCTAATAAGGGGAAATATGTTCGAGACAAGAAAAAGGAATTTAAGGCTACTTTCCTGTGTCCGGAGTGCAAGTCTGAAGCAAGCTGTGAGTTTCTTGCTTTTTAACTTACTAGTTAGTGTTCTCTTTTATAGTTTTGCTCTATTTCGACATGGTGATCTATGTTGGACATTTACAGCTCATATGCCATATCAATTTGTTTGTTTAAGAGCATGCAGTTTCTTTTATTTGCATACAAAGGAGTTATTCTGCCTTATGCCAGTGTACCTTGAAATTTCAATCTCTCTTTTTCCCATCTTGGACTATGACTCTTTAAGAAGTCCTGTGAGTACCTAGATATAAATGGACTATTGTCTTTTGGCAGAAGTTGACAATAGATTTGAACAACAGTCTGAAAAGACTAAAGCTGCGCAGATAAAATGTTTCAGAAGAAGAATAAGCATAAATTTAGAAGGACCTGATAAACATGGAGTGTTCTTAGTGCAAGAAAAAAGTTCACTTGAGTTTTCACTGAGGGGACACTTGTGGTTGAATGAATTTTGAAGACATAAAAAACGAATGGTTATGGATCTTAAAGTGGTTTCGGGAAGCATAATTTTTAGTTGTTTCAGACTTTAATAGCTTTGCTAAGTGCAATGGTTTACTGGTTGATCTGGATAGATAGCTGATCATCCTGGCTATTACATTTTTGGTTTCATATTCATTTTTCTTGGAAATTTGTAGATGCATTTGATCCTTAAATAAATTGCTTAAAAGATTTATCAAAATACAAATTAAATGTCTTTTTGTCTGAAAATCCCATAATTCATGACTTGTTCCCTAAATTGGATGGATAAGTAGGCATATGATGGCTATTTTTCTTTTTGAAATGATTATCATCATTTTGTTTGATGTGTTTATCGCTTCCAATTCAGCCTCTAGCACACTGCATGGAGAAGAGGGGTGGAATGTCGGTATAATAATACTTATCACAGTACTTGCTTCAACTGTACTGATAGTCGGAGGGGTGGCAGCATATAGGTACTGGCAAAAGAAGAGGAGAGAAAAAGAACAAGCTCGGTTTTTGAAGCTGTTTGAAGATGGGGATGACATTGAGGATGAATTGGGCCTTGGTATGTAATATGATAAATTACAATAACTTGAATATCTCCTGTACAGTGAGTTGATCTTACATAAATTTTGCTAGTGTGAGTAAAAAATCAAAAAAGTTATTCTACTTTGTGTAATTTTGCACGATGCATGTATGTAACCATATGTTCTAAGGTAGTGAATGATTTGCTCAGGCTGATACACATTTATATGCTATCACTGGTAGCCTTGTAGTTTGGCAGGTACTGGGTTAAGGATCCGAAACTATTAGGATTGTATTGTTGGTGACGATGCAGAGTATATTGCTGTTAATGATGATAGTAGATTCATTCCGATCAAGAACTCATGAGGGAACTTGAGGTTGAAAGTTTGAAGCAAAATGTAGGAACGTGGGGTTTAAATTTCCGAAGCAAAATGAAAACTCTGAAAACTCAAGCTTTAGTTTATAGGAGTGAGATAGGCTGTCACTTATGTGAATGCCAAGGTCTATTATGAAATTTTGACAAATCAAGTTGTGGATGGCGATAATGAATCCATGAAAAGATAGATTTTAAATGTTTTTCTTCCAAGTTCCCTGGTGGTTCAGGTAGTTATCTCGTCTATAATAAGTTAATTATGTTAATTAAAATCCAGCTAATGTGATTAATTAGGAGAGCAGAAAATAAAACAATTAGGTCTTCATAGATGAAATAGTGTAAACGGAAAGACGTCCAGAATCACGTCCTTGGACTATTATTACAGCTATCAGTCAGAAATTCATGCCTGGGCTCACTCTTAAATCTTAATGACACTAATGAGAAGAAAGAAAAAGAAATTTGGGGGAGAAGGCTCCTCTTTTCTTCGTTAATTGAAGTATATAAAGGATGTTCACACCTTTGCCTATTAGTTCATTGTTCAACATAGGCTGCTTGTCGCTGAGCTTCCTGGTACAAGCAAGGCCTGTAACTCAAAATTCCTTCACAAAATCCCATTTCATCTTGGCCGAAGCTATATGTTGGTCTCGCTTCCTGCTCATTATACTGGTAATAAAGCTCCTCTATGTAATGAGAACAAAGTTTATATTCCGTTAATACCCAAAGCGTATTTCACTTTCTCAGTTGGCGTTTGAAAGTCAGGGTAAGAGGAGTTTTGTATAATGAAGGCCGATGGATCGAATGGTGGTGACCAATTGAATATTCGCCTCTAGAAATTAGTTAAAAACTTGAAACCTTAGCTTTGTAATGGTCGACGATCGACAAGAAATCAGGTGTCGAAGTAAGAGGGATTTTGTAAAGAAAATACTGAAGATTCAAATGGTGGTGATAGAGAGAATTTTTGCCATTGGAATTGGCTTTGAGTAATAACAGAATATATGGAAAGCGGTATTTTGAAGCTTTGTGGATGGGAAATGTCATTGAGGCAAACCTTGGGTGGTAAAAAGTCGTTCACTCTTGAAGATTCTTACTGATCATACGAATTGGAACGTTCAGAACTTCAAATGTCAAGGTTCTTTTCAATGGCATAAAATGCCTATCATGTTAACGAAATCATAGCATCATGGAATGATTTCTTGAATAACACACAATAAAAATTAAGATTTTAATCTAATTATGAATGATGAATGGATAACATTATCAAAATAGTTAACATAATCACGTTTCTAGAGTGACAAGAACTTATTGGTATGCCTAATAGGATTTAGGCCACTAACAAGATGGCAAGAACTTGTTACGCTCAGTAGGATTAGGCCATTACCCACTATACCCACTGCCAACTACCCACTTACTTGTGGATTTTAGTGCTAGCCATCAATACAAATTATACAATCATCGCAAGATGAACAGAAAAAAGGTACACATGTCTGCAATCGAACACCACCGGAAAAGAAATGCCCTGACGCAGCAACGGCGCCAGAAAAGAGGAAAACCGTATCGGGGCAACTCAACCCCTGCACAATAATTTGAAGTTGCCATTGATGTCATGCATCTATTGAAACAAATATATTTTCACGATACGGGGATTTTGAAGCCTTAAGTTTTATCGAGGTCCATTAGCCATAATCTATTTAGGGACTCCATCAAGATCCTATGTAGCATATCGAGTCGCAATACAATATGGTTAGGGGCTAGGGAGAATACTACATTCGAAAGAAAGTACTTAATATTTTCCAGATCATACAGAGCCAACATTTACTTTCAAAACACTGATCTTCATCCTAGCTGATCCAAATCCCAAACAAAAGACACAAAGGACACGTTAACAGGGCAGACTGGTCACATCAAACATGATTCAGCGAGTGCTACCAGGTTCCCCATTCTCATCAAGATGAGTTGGACCATTTGCTTGGTGAATGAATCGAGCATACTCTTCAAATGTTCCACTTAACGTCCTGAGGACACTGGAGATGACTTAGTCTCCATTCTTGCCTTTGCAAAGTCTTGATGAACCATGGATGATGATAGTGGTCTTTCAACACCATGAACAATGCAGGACCCATTAATGTAAAGATTGGTGCAATAAGAAGAAACATCTTTGAAAGAAACCCTTTCACTGTTAGTCTCAACAAGGAGAGTGGTGTTGCAGAGGGTAGGCAGGGTGGTGTTGTCAGGGATAGTGAGGAGGGACTGGTAATAGAAGGCTCCAGCATTTGGCACCAGGCCGCGGACAGAGTATGCATCAAGGGGAAGGTTAATTAGGGCATTGTCTGGTAGTGCAAGGTAGGTCAGCCGTGCGGTGTTGGCCGCGGAGTTGGTGGTTAGGTTGTACTGTTGAAGGGCATGAGCGAAGAGGGTGAAACCACTAGAAGAGAGTGGCGGCCATGGTTTCAGAGCATAAGGATTCAGCTGTAGGAGTGATTGCAAAGAAGGCTAAAAGGAGCAGCAGCATGGTGGTGGTTAAAATATGAGAGACTGAATTATCCATTTGGATAAGAAGAAGAGAGATCAAAAGAGAGAAATCAAGATCCAAGATTGTGTAAAAGAAATCTATCTTGTATTTTGTAAGTCCCGCTAAATTATATTGAATGACGGTTCATTATATTGAATGACGGTTCTAACAGAATTGGTACACTAGTACCATGTTTAAGATGGTAACTACATGTGGCTGTCTTACGCTTCAAGCACTCTTTTAAAGCTATGACCACCAAACCATCTATTTAGATTCATATTAAGGTTATATAGAACTAAATAAAATTGGACATGACATTGTAAAAACTAATTTGAATTGCGAATGAAAGAAGACTTAATATTATTGCAGAATCTCATTTTTGGTACACTATCATTTGCAAAGAATTAACATATACCTTTTTGACTAAGCTCGTATTCTTAATTACAATTAAGCAGGTACCAGCTTCAAGAACAGCAAATCAAACTAACTCAAGCATCACAGCTGCGTATTGAGCGATTGAAGTTAGCTAATTCCTCGGAATGGGTACCATAAACTTCCTTGATGGTGTCCCTGCAGCAACTGCAAGCAACACAAGCATGAAGAGAAGAGTAATCTAGGCAACATAAGATAACATTTAGGATAAGAAGGTGTCACCTGCATGCCGCCTGATTAAACTTCTTCTTGCCAATTCCATATAATGACTCGAACACGCCCGCCTCCACGCGACAAAAATATGGACGTTCTGAAATATAAAAAAAATTAATAGAATATGAATGTAAACGCTAGTGAAGAACAAAGGGAAATGCGTACCAGGATAAACAGAGCATTTGCGTGTGTTTTTCTCATAATTTATACACCACCCATCGGGACCAATCAAGCTTCTGTACAACTGAAAAAGTACAATTAACAACCATATTGAAGTGGGTCTTGAGGGTTCACATTCATATTCTCAAACAGAAAGGGTGCATGGGTGTGAAAAATGAAAAGAAACCTTAACATCTTCTGGGTTATCGAAAATTTCTTCCGGAGTGGGGAAGGCAGGACCCTTGTCAAGCTTACAGCATGCACCACAACCTTCGACGCATCGCCACAATGGTTCCTTTTTCTCGATGCCAAACCCCGCATTCCTGCTGCTCTGCTTTTCTTTTGTCCTCACCTGCTTCATCTTCTTTGCTTTACTACGCTGCGGCCGTTGTGCCGCAAAACTAACCATGTTGCAACTGAGTAGAGCTATGACGTGGGGCATTGTTAATTTGCGCCTGAGAATTGAAATCAAATAATCAACAGAATTGAATTTTGTGTGTGGAAAATGGGGAACGGGGTGAGAGACCAGTGAGTTTGTAGTAAAAGCAATAGAAAGTATTTGTTCTATAGCATCCCTAAATTTTTCTTTAAATACTTTGGCCTCACAAGTATTTACTTTTTTTCACCAATCACCCTTACTGGTACTGGTTCGCTGGTTGTTAATCTATGGCTCTAAATGCAATTTTCTAAAGTATTTGCCGCCCTTATAATTAAGTCCTACACTTTGATCCTCCAAATATAATCTCCTGATATTGCTCTTGCTTTGAGAAAAACTTGCCTTCGAAACAAGGAATGGGTTAATTTAATTACTTAAACCGTGATCATACAAAAGAGCACAAGGTAGAAGAAGAAAAAGAAATGGGTGTTTAAGAGTAAACGATTTTTTTCCCATCTAAATAATAGCTTAATGATACTTTCCACCCACATACTTTTAAAATACTAGTTTATTACCCAAATTTATACTTTGTTTCGGATTCTGGCATCGTTGCAACCTCATACCATAACCATTCTCTTTCCCAATTATCACTCCTCAAACCCTACTCCCATCGACCTTACCAATCGTCGGCAATCGAACAATTAGGGTTTGCATAACTGCCCCTCCTAAGTCAAATTACGATCAATCTCAACCATCAAAATCCAAAATTTCACCACCAAAAGACTCATTGGCCTCCCATTTTCAAAAACCCCAACAGCCTGAACTGAGTTTTTATTTGTTCGCTATTGAAATATAAATTTGGATAATAAGATGATATTTTAAAAGTTTGTGGGTGGAAAAGTGTCACTAAACCATTATTTGGATGAGAAAAAGTAAGTTAGCTCTTAATTTAACTTATAAGATTACAAACATCTAAAAGTCAAATTGTGCTTCTAATTAATTTTATCAAAAACAAAGATTATATACACTTAAATATATCATTATGAAGCTTTCAATAAATCCCATTTGGGAAAAAAGTTTCATATAAGGAAAATTCCTTGCGCCATACACAAAAAAATTATTCACCTCCTCTTGTTCTTGCTTCCAAACAGCAAAGAGAGAAAAAACAGAACCCTAAATAGGATTCCAAAGGCAATAGTAATCAAAATACAATTCCATTTATTGAAATCTGATGCCCCAATTTGCTTCAGTATTTGCACCCCAGTGCTCAGACAGGTTGAGCTCGATAATTTATCTTTGCCCAACACACTGCTCATGCTTTCCAATAGCTTCATCTTCGTGGCCACAGTGAGTTCCACGAATGGCGTATTATCAAAAAGTTGAATTCCTTTCGCAAAGCACTTCCTTGTATCGCTATATTCATTTTGCAAAACAGCTTCATATGGATACTTCACTAGAGAAACATAATGCAACCATTTCCAATAGAAAGGTATTTGGCGAGGACAGATATAGAATCCACTAAAGATTAGAAAGTAACCCAGAATTGCTGCCACACTGGTGAAACCCACGATCAAATTAGTGACGAGTCCAGAGAAAAATGCCATAAATGAACTCCCAGCCCAAAATGTCGCAAAGATTGTGATGAAGAAGAAGAAGAATCCGGAGAACCCGCCAGCAAGACCAACCGCCCAAAAGGTTGATGCAGAAAAGGCAAAAGAGAGGATGATCATTGAAGGAATGGAGACTAGAGAGTGAGCGAGGACGTAGGATGAGTGGCGGTAAGCATTATAAGCAGTTTCTCTTATGAAAATGTATCGTTCTTGATGATATGCAGGGATTTCGTGCGCACAAATGTAGAGTATGGTGGTCATTGCAGAAGCTAAGAACCCTAATCTTCCTTCGGTGCCTTGTGGGGAATTGCTGAGTCGCCAGTAAAGGGTGCCCAAGATAAATGCTGTAAAAAAAACTACACCTAACCGAATCTTAAATAGTTCAGGCATTCTTCTAGAGTTAATTAGCAATCTTTTGGAAATGACTATAATTTCAATCCAAAAAGGATTAGCAAAGGTTTGAACTGAAGATGTTTGATTTGAGTCATTTGTGGATGTACCAGCGGAGACTAGTTTCCCTTTCGCAATGCTTGTCTTCATTGCATCTTTGAGTGAAACTTTGGGTTGATCATCGACCTTATTTGCATGTTTCATGAGGGTTTGCCATGCCTTGTTGAAATTAACGAGGCTGGTAATTCCGCCTGGAATTTCTTCAAGTTCGCGAATCAAATCAAGAGCAAACTCGGTTTCGTTCCCGTTCTCAGGAACTGGATGCCCGAAGTTTGAAAAGAAGTGGGAAAGACCAGCTAATGCTCCGCTGTACACAGTCTGTCCACGTGAGAGAAAGACAGAACGGTCCAGTAAGCTCAAAATTCTGTAACTGGGTTGGTGTATGGACATGATCACAATGCTTCCACTCTTTGCAATCCGCTTCAAGACCTTAACAATCATAAATGCGCTGGTGGAATCTAGCCCTGATATGGGCTCATCCAGGAACAAGAGGATGGGGTCGTGAACTATATCAACTCCGATTGAAACGCGCCTCCGCTCGCCTCCTGATATGCCTCTATGCTTTTCATCACCGATGATAGTATTCCCCGCACTTCGTAGTCCTAGTTGATCGATTAGAGCCTGAATTCTTGCTTGTTTCATTTTCTTCGTGAAATATCGAGGAAGTTTGAACTCTGCTGAGAACATTAGCGTCTCTTGTACAGTTAACATTGGAAACAAAAGATCATCTTGCATCACATAAGCAGATATTACCTTCAAAAGTCGAGACTCCAACACTTCTCCATTCAAACTTATGGTTCCTTTCAAGCTCTCTTTCCCTATGCGGCCTGCAAGAGCATCTATCAAAGTTGATTTACCAGATCCACTAGCACCAAGAATGGCCATAATTTCACCTTCTCGTGCTTCACCCGAAATATTATCTAGTAAAACTTTGTTGTTGTTACACTCTTGTAAGCCGCGTCTGCCCCTTCCCAAAAATGAAAATGCCAATTTTTGATGAACTTTGACACTATATGATAATTTGTTAAATGAAAGAATGAAGGGATAAGCCTCTTCTGTAGCTCTGCAAGTATTGGCGAGGTTGATGAGATGATGCTTAACTACAGTTTTATTAAAGGAAACATTTTCATGATTTGCGAAGTTTCCATTGTGTTTTTGCCTTTGGTGCTCTAAATTTTGAGCGTGGTCGAAGGAGGAGTTCTCGTGGGCAATTGATGTTGATGTTGTTGAGGACATGTTTGAAGAAGCCGAATGGCGATTGATTGTGCCATAATTTGAAATTTGAATGGTATTTAAAAGAAATGTCGAAGAGAGACACAAGGTGACATTCATGACATGTTGTAGATAAGAGTAATTATTAAATATTAATACAATCCTTTTACTAATAATATTGATATTAAACATGCAATAGAAAACAGTCTTTTGCTCCTATAATTTTCAAAATCGACAGACTACCTAAATCTAGAATTGCCATGAATTTATGATCAGTTTGACATGACTTCTGAATCACTATATTAATATATATTTTGAGAAGATAGGGTTAAATCTAAAACAAATGATATTTTCAATGCACATTAATCTTGAATGGCAATTATAAATTAAGCAATTGTTCAAAATGATATCAATTTAATGATTTAAAAATTTACTTAATGAATAATATTACTTATAAAATCAATAACACCACTAATGCTAACTCTTGAATATGCATATTCTTCACTCAAATTTGTAAACATGTACGGTCGTATTTTAAGAAATTAATTTTATTAATGTTGAGATATTTACACATGTGGACACACATACCTTGGGATCCCAGGAGTATAATCGCTTGTTCAGTTGGTAATAATCTGTTTATAAAGAGAAATTATTAGAAACTCCGACGGTCCACCCGTTAAAGGATTGAGTCGATATATGTTTTGGATTCCTCACCAGCTCCTACTGTGAAACTGTCGACTAAAGTTCAAAGAAAAACTGTAACCTTTGCTAATATGTTTAATAATATTATTATATAACAATTAGTTGTAATATTCGATACCAACAAAAAATGTCCTTAAAGGCATGTATATGATAATATGAACAACCAAAAGGCTCTAATTGCGAAGGATTTCTCAAGATCATCAATTGTAATGATGGAAACTAGGTAACACATTTCATCTTGTTTAACTAGCTTTTTTTAATTGGTATATGCTTTAAATTGTCTGTTTTAATCTCTCTTCTTTTACTAACAGAAACTCTGAAAGGGCCACGCTTTGCAGCCCCCGCCAATGTAGAAGTTCGACGTAAAACAGCAAGCATTTTGGATCATCGGTTGTGGACTATTCGTTTGTCTTCCAGTGATCACATACCATATTCTGCGAATTCGGTTAATACTTTCATTACCCCTCAAACTCCACTTCTACTTTGATTCACACTGCAGTTCTTTGGTATGAAGTATAAACAATGTGTCATTGGCTAGTTGGAAGATAGGCCATTACAGTGTGACAACTTGTCGTTCACATGTTTTTATTGACGGCGAAATTTTCATATACGGCTGTTGTCATTAATACGTAGACAACCCAAGTTCGTCTAAACATGCAAAAAGACAGGCATGTCGTTCAGTTATTCATGTGAAATGTGGCTATTGTGTTGATCAACAACAGTTCAATTAATCTATTTCTCTCACTGATTCTGAAGTTTATGCATGCATTTTATTCTACCGTACGTCTTTTATGTTTAGGGATAATTTCCGTGCATATTTCTACCACGACTTGATCATAATCTTATCAGATCTTTGATGTAACTGGTAACTTGCTTTTTTAATTTACCCCAATATATGACAAGAGCTTAAAAATACACATTTACTTAGTGGGTTATGAAGATTATTTGTGAGAAATTAGATTTAATTTGGTAAAGTTGTTTAATATTTTCATAATTGTTTTTTATAGGATCATAGGTGTGTTTGAGTGTTTTTCAGGTTATTAGAGCTAAATGTTATGCTCGGATAAAAAATCATGTCGACAACGAAAAGAGTGACAAGTAGAAACAAAAGGATCGAGAATCAAAGTTGAATTGAAGAAGTTATGGAGCTTTGAAGTAAATAGGAGATTTTAGATTACGCTTTAGTTTAAGCACGCCTTGGTGTTTTGACAATAGCTCAATCTGTAGATCTCGGATTAAGATGGTTCTTTGACTGTTGGAAATCTGATTCAAAGGGGTACATTTCATATGTTTACCACTTCTCTAGATTTCATTGTTATCATGCTTAAAAATCACTATCTCTAGAGTATTGAGGAATGATGTGAGATTTGAACTAAAGAAGAGGAAGTTATCATTGTACTGCAGCACACTCTGTCCAGAATCAACCACGCCATAGCACAGTATCGGGGCATAGTCACGACAGTTAGGAATTTTTCTTCCGTTTTTTTATTAGAAAAATAGGGGTAGGAGTCCTAAACTAAATAAAATTAAGGAAAATAAACCCAAATCCTTATAAATAGAAGTCTTTTAGCATTATTTTGGGGAGAATTAGGGGAGGCTAATGCAAGAGAAGATCAAAGTGGCATAATTTCTAGAGATTTTGATTTGCGATATAGAGAAGTCTTCTTATTTCTTTCTTGAACTCATGTTTCTTATTTTAATAAAGATGATTGTTTATTTCATGTTGATTATGAACTAAATTTATTCTCTAGGGCTAAGATGTAGCTCAATCTCTTGATTATGTGTTGAATAATTTATGTTAATTTTTATTAAGATTTCTTAAGTTTTATTATTATGCCTAATGCTTTTGATTCTTAAGGGCCAAAGAATTGAAGGAATTAATGGACTAAGTTGAGATCGAGAGATGATACTTAGTTGGTCTACGGTAGTAAAACCATAGATTGAGCGAACGCTAGAGATAGGTTACTGCGACTTGTGAGGTTCTGGTAAACTCCATAGAGAATTGCTTAAATCTGATTAGAGATAATTCGGGTTAGTAATTAGGAGTTAATTTGATAATTGTTTGAGAGAAAATTATTAGAAATTTAGGGAGTTTGACCTGTAGGAAGAGCTTAATGAAATTAGCATAAGTGATCAATACATATGAATAAGAGTTAGCGTAAAATTTATGCCCTAAGTCTAGTCATCTTGCTTTAAACCCAAAGATTTATTTTAGTTGTTTTCTTTTAATTTCAATTGTTTATTTTTAATTTAGATTTTTGTTGATAAAATTTGGATTAATCAAAAGTAATAGGATGGTTTATTTTGGTAATTGATAGTAGTAATTTCCTTGGATTCGACATCCATATACTTACACTTTATTACTTGCAAAATTTGTACACTTGAGGATTTCACAAGAAGTTTTTGGTGCCGTTGCTAAGGAATTATTTATTTTCAATATCACTACGAATTATTTAGTTGCTAGTTTGATTTGTTTTATCTTTGTTTTAAAATTAATTTTTATTTTGTTGTTTTGGTCTTTTTTTGTTTTTTTTTTTTTTTTGTTTTTTTTTGTTTTAGATCTTGGATAGCTTACGTTCAAAAGGCAGTGGCGATCTTAATCCTTTCAATTCTGAGATAAATAGAATAGTGAGATAGTTGAGAAAGGAAAAGAGGCAAGCCAACTTAGAAAAAGCATTAGCTGACAAGGGAAGTATAAATTGAAATATGAGTAATCAAGAGAATGATGAAATCCCAGGGGGCAATGTAACTGGTGGAGTGGTAGTGGTCCAAAGAGCATTGAAGGACTACTTTAGTCCTACTGTTGAAGGGTGCTATTCTAGCATCATGAGGCCACCAGTTCAAGTGAATACTTTTGAAATAAAGCCAGCAATTATTCAATTGATACAACATTTGGTTCAATTTGCAGGGTTTCCTAATGATGATCCCAACCTGCACATTGCCAACTTTTTGGAGCTATGCGACACATTCAGACATAATGGAGTATCTGATGATGCAATTAGGCTTAGAATTTTCCCATTCTCTTTTTGGGATAAAGTTAAGCCTTGGTTGATTTCTTTGTCATCAGGAAATATTACTACATGGTATGAGTTAGCTCAAGTATTCCTTACAAAATATTTCTCACCTGTCAATTCTGCTAAGATGAGGAGTGACATCACTAATTTTTTCCAACAAGATATGGAGTCACTCTATGAAGCTTGGGAGAGATATAAAGATCTCTTACAGAGATGTCATCACCATGGGCTGCCAATATGGTCACAAGTGCAGACGTTTTACAATAGGTTGCTGCCAAATATACAAGTGATGATTGATGCTATACGTGGGGGAGCTTTGAATAACAAAACACGAAGGAGGCTTATAATCTAATTGAAGTAATGGCGAGCAATAATTACATGAGGCCTTTAGAGAGAAATTCAACAAGGAAAGTAGCGGGAGTGCACGAAGTTGATGGTTACACCGCATTGGCCACTCAACTCTCAACCATCCAAAAGCAATTGGGAGTTTCCCTAAAGGTAAATGCTATTGAATCGTCTTCTCTAACTTGTGAACTTTGTGTAAGAAGTCATTCATCTAAGGATTGTCAAGAAGGAAATCCATTTGCTCAACCGGAACAGGCTAACTATGTCAACAACTTTCAACGAGGGCAAGGGAATCCGTATTCTGGCACATACACTCCAGCATGGAGAAACAATAATGAGTACAAACCACCACCGGGCTTCCAACCTCAAGAGAAGAGATCTAATATGGAGAGTGTGATCACTAAATCCATGGAGGAGTCTAGAATGAAGCTTAACTCCAAAAGTATGAAGTTTTGTTGCAAAACCAATTCGCTTCCATAAAAAATCTTGAAACTCAAATGGGGAAAATCCACATTATTTTAGCGGGAAGAGTTCAAGGAAACATTGCCGAGTGATATTGAGAAGAATTCGAAGGAGAGTCAATGCTATCATGCTGAGAAGTGGTAAGGAGTAGAAGGAAGCAAGCAAAGAAGGAGAAACAAGGGAAAAACTCGAAGATGAAAAATAAGGCAGAACCAAGTATGTTGCAGCACAGTAGAAGACAAAAGCAAGTGTGTCACAGCACAATGCCGCGACATAGGAGAGGGTAGAAGCGAGTGTGTCGCAACACAGGGGTAGAAAATGATGAAAATGCCCATGCTGTGACAAACGATGACATGACCCTCCCGTATCCTCAGAGAGTGTAGAAAAAGAGATTAGACAAGCAATTCGGTAAGTTCATGGACATGTTTAGAATTTTACACATTAACATTTCTTTTGTAGGCATGTTGGAGCAAATGCCGAAGTACGCAAAGTTTTTAAATGAGATTCTCACCAAGAAGATAAGGTTTGAAAAACATGAGATGATGATACTTACAAAAGAGTGTAGTGCACTGATATTGAAAAAACTCCCATAGAAGCTTAGAGATCCAGGGAGTTTCACAATTCCTTGCACAATAGGTAATATTCATTTTGATAAGGTTTTATGTGACCTTGGTGCTAGTGTAAATTTGATGCTCTTTTCAATTTATAAGAAACTAGGCCTAGGGGAAGTAAAACCAACCACTGTTCATCTTCAATTAGCAGATAAGTCTATAAAATATCCTAGGGAAGTAGTAAAGGATGTCTTAATAAAAGTAGATAAACTAATTTTCCCAGTGGATTTTATTGTATTAGATATGGAAGAAAATCGGGAGGTGCCTCTAATTTTAGGAAGACCTTTTCTAGCTACGGGTAGAACATTGATAGATGTTCATCAAGATAAACTAATCTTGAGGGTAGAGGATGAACAAGTTGAATTTAATTTTTTGATACTGTGAAATGTCCACCCAAGTTAGATACTTGCTTTAAGATTAGCATCCTTGATGATAAAGTAGCTGAGACCTTAGAAGAAAATACCCTCGTTTACCCCTAAAAACATGTGTTGTACATTTTAGAACTTTAGAGGAGGAAATTGAGAATAAGACGGAAAGAGAGCAATTGAAGCTTTATGTCGATGGTGGCGTTAAGGATAGAAGGGTTTGGATTTTCCTAGATGATCCAAATTGAAGAAGTAAAAAAGTCGAGCTTTATGACTCTAATAAAGCGTCTCTTGGGAGGCAACCCAAGCTCTTTACTTTAATTTTGATTTTTGTTTTGAATTTATTTTAGATTTTTGTTTAATGTGTTAAGTTGTGATAACTTTGATTTGGTTTGATATGTTAGTTGTTTATGTTTCACCCATAATTTCTTTTATGCACACTAAATTGGCCAAGAAATGTGCATAGTTTGTTTTCTTTTGACTAGATTCCTGATGGCTATTGGATACAACAAACAATATGCATGCCTTCACAAGACTATCTCCACATAATTGTTGTGCACGAAAGGTATTGTAGTTGTTCTCTTTGCACATTGAGGACAATGTCCATCTCTAACGTTGGGGGTAAGAAATAATTTTTTTTTCTTTTTATGGCCAAATTTAGTTTTGTTTGATGGACATATTTGAATATCTTTTTATTTTTTATTTTGTTTATCTCTTTAAAAGTTCTTGAGTGGAATTGTTTTAGGTGTGTTGTAGGGTCAAAGAGTCAATGTATTTTGTTTTGTTTTGGAACTCATGCATAAGTCAATGATAAGACCATGATTGTGAATTTGTGACATGAAGATTTTATTAACTTCGCGTAGTGTAAAGATGATAGTAGATGACAATTGCATTTAGTTATGACTCTCTTGGGAATGTGTTTGATTGGTTGAATAATTCGAAAACTTGGAGACGTTTTATTTGTGCTTTTATGGGTAATAAATTTTTGTGAAAATTGTGCATAAATTCTAGAACTCATTTGATAACCACTTGAGGCGAAATCCTAGAATCCGCATTGCTTAGGATATGATTTAGACAATTTTCTTTGGAACGATTGAGCCTTTCAAGCCAACCTATATTACTTTATCGCTAGTTAACCCTTTGAGCCTATTATATACACTTGGTAAGCCTTACTTTTTTTTGTTTTAAACTCACTATATCTCACCTTGATGATGAAACCTAAAACACTTTCTGACCCATCTTATCGTGAGAGACTTAATTTGGAGTGACCTTAGAAGAAAAACTCATGAAAAAAGAGTGTGATTTAAAAAAAATAAATAAAAAAATGTATCATTTGTACCCCAACCTGAGTATGTGCAATGAGATAGGTTAGGGGTTGAAAAAAAAATAATAGTAGAAGCAAGGTGGGGTAGACGATTGTTTTTATAATTTACAATCTTCCTATGAAAAAAAAAGTGCAAAAGAAAAAAAGATTTGAAAAAAAAATGAAATTTCTTTTTTGCAGAAAAATAGGAAGAAGTAGCAAGTGAGAAGAACATGGAATGAGGTTTACATTATATGAGGGTTGGTGCTAATGTTGGAAGGAAGAGTTCAATCAATGTGAAAGGGTAGAGGGTGAATGAGAAGGGAAGCAAAGAAGAGATTGTTCATGGTCATTTACTATAAAATATTAAGTTTTTTACATTTTGTTAAAAATTCCTTTCCGTTCTTTCATAAACCATTACCCTAGCCTAACGTTACAACCATGATAAAGACCTAATGATCTGAGGTAGTGATTGGATTCTACATTAGTGGAGAGTGGTTTGAAAAATGAGCCTATGGAGTTTGATTGTACATTTGTTTTATTTTCTTACTTCGCCCATGAATGCCATGCATAAAATCATCCGGCTTTTTGGATGAAGGTTTGTGAATGATCATGAGAGAGTCAATAACAAAAGTATAGTTGAAATTCACTTATTTTTTTCATTTGCGTGTTATTAATTATTCTTTTTGTTCACATTGACACAATTTTTGAGATGATTATTTGTATGGATCCTGAAATGTTTGTTTGAGTCTTTAGTTTTAAGTCTAGGTGGGGTTAGGTTTGGATGTTTGTGGGTATCATCATTGAAAACCCTCACGAGACTACAACTCATCCAACTAGGGCCGCCTAGGGGTTTAAAGGCTTGTTGCATATACTAAATGAAACCATGACAATCTACGGAAGTGATTTAGGATAGTTTAGATATAGATTATTATTATTATTATTATTTTGTTTTAAAGCTAAAAGACTTGTTTTATTGCTTAGCTTGCTCGGGACTAGCAAGAGGCTGGTTGAGGGTTATGATAAGAGCTTGAAAATTCACATTTACTTAGTGGTTAATGGGGATTATTTGTGAGCAATTAGACTTAATTTGGTAAAGTTGCTTAATATTTTCATAATTGTCTTTTATGGGATCGCGAGTGTGTTTGAATGTTTTTTAGGTTATTAGTGCTAAATGTTATACTTGGATGAAGAATCATGTTGACAATAGAAAGAGTGACAAGTAGAAACAAACGGATTGAGAATCAGAGTTGAATTGAAGAAGTTATGGAGCTTTGAAGTAAAGAGGAGATTCTAGATTACGCTCCAGTTTAAGCATGCCCTGATGTTTTAACAATAACTCAATCTATAGACCTCATATTAAGATGATTATTTGACTTTTGGAAAGTTGATTCAAAGGGGTACATTTCATATGTTTACCACTTCTCCAAATTTCATCGTTATCGTGCTAAAAAATCACCATCTCTAGAGTACTGAGGAATGATGCGAGATTTGAACTAAAGAAGAGGAAGTTATCACTATGCCACACAGCCACATAACACTTTGTCTAGAATCAACCATGCTGCAGCACAGTGCCAGGGCACAGTCACCACATTTAGGAATTTTTCTTCCGTTTTTAATTAGGAAAATAGGGGTAACAGTCCTAAACTAAATGGAATTAAGGAAAATAAAACCCTACCCCTTATGGGATATAAATAGAAGTCTTTTAGCATTGTTTTGAGGATTCTTTAGGAAGAATTAGAGGAGGCTAATGCAAGTGTTAGAATTGGAAGCAAAAATAAACAAAGAATGCAGAAAAGACAGATGAACTTTTTTATTAAAAGAAGAGTTTCATTAAAAATCAACTACATTAAAAACTTTCAAACTAATTCAACGTTACACACATATATAGTTTATCTAAGAGTTAAGATAATGATAAATAACTAAACAATCAGTTTAGAAATAGGAAGTCATAACTTCTCCAACAGTTATCGAAAAGAACTTGAACGTCTCTATCTTCATGAAGTAATGCTCGCTGCAGCGATCGTCAATTGCCCAACGTTCGTGTCAATTTCCCAACGCTTGTTGCAGCGACAATTCTTGTCGCCGCAATGATCGTTCTTTGATCTATTTCAGAGAACATCATCATGCTTGCCGCAACATCCTTTTTACACCGCTGCGGCGACCGCTCCTTCAACCGAAAATGGTTTATCATTTAACACTCCTCCTTGAACCATTTTGGTATTAATCCCAAGCAAGTCTTTTAACATCTCAAATCTGGATTTTGTTAAACATTTGGTAAAGATATCAGCAACTTGAAATTTTGATTTGCAAAACATCATCTTGATTTCCTTCATCTTCTCAGCTTCATGAACAACATGGTACTTTATATTGATGTGCTTTGTTCTTCCATGGTGGACTGGATTTTCAGCAGTGGAGATGGTTGATTTGTTATCACACATAATTGAAGTGTCTTCCTCCTGCTCTATTCCTAAATCTTTCATCAGTTTCCTTATCCACAAGGCTTGGTTTGTAGCTGCTGCTACTACAACATATTCAGCCTCTGCAGTACTCTGACCCACAATCTCTTACTTTCTTGAACACCAACAAAACACCCCAGACCCAAGAGTGAAACAAACACCAGTGGTGCTCTTCATGTCGTCTGCACTTCCAGCCTAATCACTATCAACATAACCTATCAGCTTCTCCTCCTCAACTCTTTTAAACCAAATACCTTGGTCCTTTGTCCCCTTCAAGTATCTTAAAACTCTTTTTCCTACTGTGAAATGTTCTTCACTTGGTTCCTACATAAATCTAGACAAAAGGTTAGTGGAAAACATAATATCTAGCCTTGTTGCCGTCAAGTACATTAAACTTCCAACAAGGCTTCTATAATTTTTTCCATCCGCCTTCTTTTTTCCATCAACTTTCACAAGCTTCAAATTTAATGGCAGGGGAATTGTTGTAGGTTTACAATCCTCCATTTTAATTTTCTTCAAAATCCCTTGAGCATATTTCTTTTGACATATGAAAATGCCATCCTTCTATTCACTTACTTCAAGACCTAGGAAATAATTCGTTTTCCCCAAGTCACTCATTTCAAACTCCTTCATCACACTTCTCTTAAAGTCTTCAATTTTCTTTTTAACATCACCCGTAATCAACAAATCATCAACATACAGAGAGACAATCATACTTCCTTCATCTTCCTTTACATACAATGTTGCATCATTTGGCTCCTCATGAATCTTTAAGCCACAAACCAGGAATCAATCCTGTTGTACCAAGCCCTTGGTGCTTGTTTCAACCCATAAAAGGGCTTTATGCAACTTGTAAACTTTTTCTTCACTTCCCTGTACCTCAAATCCTTCCGGTTGACCAATATACTAACCCGCCATTTGAGCATACCCTTTAACCACTAATCTAGCCTTTAATTTTTGAATGGTTCCATTAGGATTCAACTTAGTTCTATAAACCCATTTTACACCAATTATTTTCTTACCTTCCGGTACATCTACAAGCTCCCATGTCTTGTTTTTTTTTCTATCATTGCTATTTCAATTTCCATTGCATCTCTCCAGTCCTCTATCTTACTTGCTTCTTCATATGACGTTGGTTTTAACACTGTACTACTATACCTTTGATAAACATCTTCAAGAGACCTAGTACCCCTCACGGCTACTTCATCTATTCTTATTTTCTACACATTCTTCTTTCAAGGAAGTCACAACATTATTTTCATCTTCAGTCTTCCAATTCCAGGATGCTCCTTTATCAAACACAACATCCCTACTAATTGATTTTTTTTTTTTCAAAATCGGGTCATAGACTCTATAGCCCTTAGCTTGGCTATTATACCTGATAAACACTTCTTTCTTTGCCTTTTCATCAAGTTTACTTCTTTTCACATCTGTTACTTTCACATAACACACACAACCAAACACTCTTGTATGTTTTAGTGTTGGTTTCATCCCACACCAAGCTTCAAATGGGGTCATCTCCCTTACAGCCTCGATTGGTAACCTATTCAACAAATATACAACTGTACCTGCGGCTTCAGCCCAAAACTCTTTAGGCATTTTCTTCTCAGCCAACAAAAATCTCGTTATCTCCATTACGGTTATATTCTTTCGCTCAACTACTCCTTTTTTTTTGTGGAGAGTAGCTTACTATAAATTGATGTTGGACTCCAAAATCTGCACAAAACAAATCAAACTTGGCAGAGGAATACTCCTTGCTATTGTCAATTCTCAAACTCCTCAAAGGCACACCACTTTGAGTTTCAACCATTGCCTTAAAATTCTCAAACACTCCAAACACATCAGACTTCAATTTCAAAAAATAAATCCATGTCATCCTTGTTGCATCATCAATAAACAAAAGGAAGTATCTATTTCCATTTAGGGAAGGTGTCTTCATTGGTCCACACAAATCAGAATGAACCAATTGCAATTTCTCCTTGGGTTTCCAAGATGAAAAGTTAGGAAAAGGCATTCTATTTTGCTTTCCTAATTGACAACTCTCACATATTACATCACTAACTTCTATGGTTAGTAAATCAATCACCATTTTCTTTTCTTCAGCCAATTTAATGGAGTTGAAGTTGTAATGTCCCAACCTCTTATGGCATAACCAAGATTCACTTTCTAATCTACTACTCAAGGCATTTTTATCACTAGAATTCCAATTCACTACAAAACTTATGTTCTTCATAGGCACGTACATGAACTCCACACCATTTGAATCCTTTATTTTACATACATCATTTGCAAATTCAAGCATATAACCCCTTTGCATTAATTGACCAACACTTAATAAGTTTTGATCTAAATTAGGCACAAAGAGAACTTGAAGAATCGATTTAATACCTTTAATTGTTGGAATGGCTACGGTACCTTTCCCTTTGATTGAAACTCGCTTTTCATTTCCCAACCTCACCATACCTTTCATATCCTCCAAGTTAGTGAATAACTCCAATATGCTGGTCATGTGCTGGGTACATCTACTATCAATAAACCAAGAATCAAATTGATCCTTGGTATCCGCTAAGAAGGCAGTAAATAATTGCTCTTCATTCTCATCATCCTCAGAAACATTTGCTTGTTGTTGTTGCTGAACAAGTTGATATTGCATCTGTTGATTCTTCTTGCGGTAGCAATCCTTCTCAAAATGACCTGGACGGTTGCAATAACAACATGTTTTTGGTGATGTTTTCTTTTTGTACCCACACTCATCTTTCGAATGATGAAGTTTCTTGCAACGATTACAATAGAACTGACCTCTTCCTTTCTTTTTGGCATCAAATCTGCCTTTCCCAAAACTAAATCTAGGCTTTTTTCCATCTATCTGAATATGAGACAAAATTTTTGCCTTTGATTGTAGAGCAGTCTCCAAACCACTATGACTTCTCATCTTCTTCCTTTGTTCTTATGCTTTAAGAGCACTCATCAATTTAGCCACTGTCATGGACTTAATGTCCCTTGAAACATCAAGCGATGAAATTTTGGATTCGAACTTCTCTGGCACACTTACCAGAACTTTCTCCACTATCTTCTCTTCAAAAAGATCTTCTCCCAAGATCTTATTTGATTCACAGTCTTCATCAATCTGTCTGAATACTGTGAAACACTTTCTGTCTCCTCCATATTTAAATTCTCAAGCTACCTCTTTAGAGTTATTATCTTCATGTTCCGTGTCTTCTCGGAACCTTTATATTCCTCCTATAACTTATCCCAAATTTCCTTGGTGGTAGTACAAGCCACAATCTTCATAAAGATTGAATCGGAACAGCCAAAAGCAAATATAAAAAAACCCTTGCTCTTTTCCTACTCTCTGCTTTATACAACCGCAATTGAGAAACCGTTGGAAACTTAGGCTCTTCAAGAAATTCTCCACCTGTTTCGGTGACTTCCCATAAATCCGTAGCTTGCAAAAATCCCTTCATCTTCACCACCCATATGTGGTAAAGAACTTTTATAAAGACCGGAACTAGAGGCAATGATATACTTGATGATACCATTACACAACTCAAGCTTTTCCACAAATTTCTTTTTCTACTTCACAGATCCCTTAAGAACACCGCTCTAATTCCAATTGTTAGAATTGGAAGCAAAATAAACAAAGAACGCAGAAAAGACAGATGAACTTTTTGATTAAAGGAAGAGTTTCATTAAAAATCAACTACATAAAAAACTTGCAAAATAATTCAACGTTACACAAATATATAGTTTATCTAAGAGATAAGATAATGATAAATAACTGAACAATCAGTTTAGAAATAGGAAGTCATAACTTCTCCAACAGTTATCTAAAAGAACCTGAATGTCTCTATCTTCATGAAGTAACGCTCGCTGTAGCGATAGAAACTTTCGCTGCAGCGATCATCAATTGCCCAACGTTCGCGTCAATTTTCCAACGCTCACTGTAGCGACAGTTCTTGTCGCCATAGCGATCGTTCTTTGATCTGTTTCAAAGAACATCATCATGCTCGCTGCAACGTCCTTTTTCCACCGCTGCGGCGACCGCTCCTTCAATCGAAAATGGGTCATTGTTTAACAGAAGATCAAATGACAGAATTTCTAGAGCTTTTGATTTGCAAGAAGTTTTCTTATTTCTTTCTTGAACTCATGTTTCTTATTTTAATAAAGATGATTGTTTCTTTCATGTTGATTATGAACTAAATTTGTTCTTTAGGGCTAAGATGTAGCCCAATCTCTTGATTATGTGTTGATTTATTTATGTTGCTTTTTTATTAAGATTTCTTCCTAAGTTTTATTATTATGCCTAATGCTTTTGATTCTTAAGGGCCCACGAATTGAATGAATTAATGGACTAAGTTGAGATCGAGAGATGATACTTAGTTGGTCTACGGTAGTAAAACCATAGGTTGAGTGAACGCTAGAGATAGGTTACCGCGACTTGTGAGGTTCTGGNGAGCTCGAGTAGTCAAATACTCAACTCGACTCAACTCGATTTCTCCCCTATGTGAGATCACTGAGATGGCGCTAAAGCTTGCCGAAAACCATTTAAGGATGTAGAATCAAATGGTCATTTTTCATAAAGTTATAAATGGTATGGCTAAATGGTTATTTTTATAAGTTAGACGGTCAAGGTCAAGTGGTCATTCAATCAAATTATAACCCTCAGTACAAATAGTTAAATCCATTTCGGTTCCTGAGGTATGGCCTAACCATATAAGCAGGGGCGGACCCAGGCCCCTTGATGGTAGGCCTAGGCCTACCCTAAACTTTAAAAAAAAAATTGAAAGGTTTTTTTAGAAGGTAAAAAAAAAAGTAAAATTAGGTTTTGTCTTTTTTATATTCAAGTTTTTCTTCCCCAATTCCCAACTTCCCTTTTACATGCAGATCTGATTTGGAGTTATTGTAATCCATATTTTTGTAAATCTTTGTGTATTTTATTTTTGTTAGAGTTGTGACTGAGCTCTAAATTTGTGTAGAATATTTTTGGTGGATTTGTGGCTGTTGTAAATGATAGTCCTATTTTTTCCTATGATTTTGCATTGAATTTCGATAGGATTTAGGATAATTCTCATACAATTTGGGCCATAATTGCTACATAATTCTATTAATTTGTCTTTGCAGGCCTAAACGATGATTTTGAGCATAAATGACAGTTTTGAGCGTAAATTGCGTAACTCGAGCTTGGAAACTCAAAATGACCTATTTTAGAAGCTTTGGAAAGCTAAGAAGTAGAGTTACAACTTTCATGTTTTGGGTTTTTCCTAATTCTGACTGGACAAGGGTGAAAACTTGGCTTGAAGTCGTGAACAGTATGTTATTGTTAAAAGTGGAAGCCTGAAATAGCGTCGTTTTAAGTAAAAAGAATACGACGTCATTTTAGGCATAATGACCGGAACAATTTTAGACCGCAGGATGCACTCCAGAACTAACGGCCAGGATCAACCACGAAGTCAAACCATATATAAACGCACTTTCGTTCAGATTTACAATAACACACATATTTTAGGGGTTTTCTGGGTTTGCACTTCTCTGTGTTAGGGTTTAGATTATTATTCCAGATTGTGGTGAAATCAGTTGAGTGGTTAGGGAGTTTAATCATTCAGGTGAGAGTGTTGTTCTCTCGGGTAAGGGATATTCAGAGAGTATCTTGTAAGGCTGATTGCAGTTGTATTTGGGTAGATCTGGTGAGTGTTGAATCTGTGTAATCTTGATTGTTCTTGATAATAGAAGTGTAGTGAGCTCATACCGTTCTTAAGCTCAACGTGGATGTAGCTTATCCATAAAAGGATAAGTGAACCACGGTAAATCGTGGCTTGTTTGTGTGTCTGTTTTGTTCTTGTTTCTTGTTTCTTGNAGGGCATCTACTCTAACATGCATTTCTTTTCATCATACTTGTGCTTTATGTGAATCCTTATGATGTGTTTGAGTGTGATGATTTTATCTCTTTTTGTTTTATGACAAAAAGAGGGAGAAGATTGAGTTGTGATGATAATAGTTTTATAGTATGATGAGTTCTGGAAGATTAAGGATGATTTACATAATAAAATGTGTTAATTATGCTTGTGCTTATTACGTATGGAATGCTTAATGTGAGGGGGAGCTTTTGCTCTCAATTTTTAGTTCATTTTCTCAATTTTTAGTTCATTTTGGTTGAAAGGATATGCTTTTTGCAAGGGGGAGAGTTTTGCATTTTTCTTAACTTTTATGGAACTCTATTTTGCTTAGTTTTGTCATCAATAAAAAAGGGGCAGATTGTTGAGCCCTAATGTGTTTTTATGTGCTAAGATTTATAAAAAAATAGTGATTAATGAACTAACAATGTGCAAAGGTATGACAAAAGTCGTAACCAAAACAAAAATGCAAATTTTCCAAATGGAATGATCGTTCCATTCAGATTTTTTGGTAAATAATCTCTAATCAAGCTGTTCCATTTTGCAATACAAGAATTTAGGTTTTTCGCAACAAAATAATGTCACTATAAATATCAAAACTGTGACCATTTCACTAATGTCAGGAATTATATTAGTCACCAAGTTGGTCACATTAAGCTTGTGCTCTTAAGTGTATGGTGACGAAAAAGTGTTTGGTCACCATAGCTTAATTATTTATTGTGACAATAATAATTTGTCGTTGTAAACTAATTTATTGTGATAAATTATTTGTGACAATAGAAGACAATTTTTATCACTCTAAGTAATATTTTATCACAATTGATTTACATTTAAAGACCAAATGATAAGCTTTATGGTGAGAATATAATATATGATGACAGAAATTGATTTTGTCAAAATTATGACAATAATGACTAAATTGTTTTCTCATAATTTTAATAGTGATTGGAATTTATTTGTCATTGACTTTATTGTGATAACATTTATTTTGTCACATGTTTGTTTATATAATAATATTATTTGTCAAAGATTGCATAGTGATGGAAATAATTTTGTAAAAAATTTAATAGCATGACAAATAATTTTTAATACAAATATTTTTACATAACAAATTTTTTATTGTCAAAATAATATAGGCGTGACAAATATTTTTTGTCGTCTCAATATACTTTGTTTCTCTATCTTTGCATAACCCTGCTTGCATATTTTTTTGGTAAAAGGTAATTATATAAAGAATAAAAGAATGAGTCCCAAAAAGAAGACCCCTACAAAGTCAAGTTCCCTAGACAAGCCCAAGCAACCAAGCCAAAAAAACAAAAAAAGGTGGCATGGATTTACATTCCAAAAAAGCCACCAAGCAAGCATCAAAGAGGACTCTACAAAATGACCAGCAACACAAAAACAATGTCAGACTTTGGTATACAAAAGCCAACTACACATGCTATACACAAAAGAACCATCCACCCAAAGAACCCAAAAATTCTGCACAACAACTACTAAAATCCTGCTTATATACGCAACCAAAACAAGAAGAAAAGCAGGGAGCAGCAACCTGCAATTTGTAAATAATTCCCCAGTGAAAACAGCTCCAGAAAAGGTTATGGTCAATGGCGAGAAAAGTCTTCTTCCAAGCCTCCAAGGTTTCAACATAGAAATATCTACAGCCCAAACAGTAATACTCACCTAGCACACACGAATAAGTAAGCAAGAATGCAGCAGCTCCCTTGGAGGAAGAGACTTGGCGGCATCCAAAACCTGAAGAGTTAAAAAAACAAAAACAAAAAAAGGGAAAAATATGGTCAATACAATAGAAACAATGTTTATAGCATTAAAAGAATTTGGAAAAGCATAAAGTGGTAACATTCTGAAGAGAGAATGGAACTGTAAGGTAATACAAAGTAGCTACTATTGGGTGTTACAGGTGAGCCCATCGAGGTTGGAACTAGTCAATACTGAGTAAAATACTCAAGAAAAACCAACATTATAACTATCTCCATTGACTTAAAGCTAGGAGTATTTGGCACATAAGGGTTAACCATTA